GAATCAATGATGGACGTAGCAATTAATATTTTTTTTTGATAAATTTAACAGAATACATATCTCTTCAAATTTTCTTAATATACAGATTATTTTTTATGGTTCTGCAATTATATTTCAATGATTTTGAGTTCTAAATCACATAAAATTGACTTTTTTGTTAATAAATCATCAAGTAATTATTATTATTACTTTACAACAATGCTCATAAATTAATATTTCAAATGAACAATTTGATGAAAGTTACATATATGAACGACAATTAACCAGGTGATATTGTATGGACGGAATGTTGGGAGGCAATTAAAGAACACATATTGATATGAATGAGTGTTACTGAGAGTGCAAATGCTAAGAGTAGAATGTGTGCCAAGACTAAAAAACACAGTTAAGGAATGAGTATATTCGTGGAATGGGTAGAGAGTAGCTACCGATTGAAGAAAAGTTGAGAGAGAATAGATTAGATGGTTTGGTCATATATAATGGACGACCAACAGAGTGTATCGGATATACAATACAGTGCTCGTAGAGGTAAATGGTTTAGAGAAGGGACAACCTAGATGACGTGCTAATGAGTAAATAGAGATATGTATCTCGTTTAATTTGACTAACCAAATGGCACTTTGATAGAGTCGAATGGAAAAGAAAGATTAATGTAGTTCGACTCATTTGATGGACTTATGGATGTAAGGTTTTGATTTGGTTTTGATTTATAGGAAGAGTGATTAGAACTTGTTTTTCCCTGTTATTTGTTAAATAAAAAATTATGATAATGAGATTATTTTTAAATTTCTAGAATTACAAAAAAATTCATATTTTAAGTAAAATTCAAGAGGTAGTATTTGGTAATTTTTTAAAAGAGAGGGATGCACTGGTCTTATTACCATGGACCCCCCCCCCCCCCCCCCCCCTCCACCACATAACATTATATTTCAAATCATATTCCCTCAATCTTGCAACCTTCACCCTGTCTTTCCAGTGTTCTGTCTCAACAAAATTTAATTTATTTATTTTTATGGTTGCACACTCTAAAGAGCTAGAACATTCAAATTAGAAATATTATATATATACAGCCACCCTAATAAAATAATCGATTCATCCATTACAAAAAGACCATGACAAAATGTTATCGTGTGCTCTACACTACCCTTGTGGTTGTTGGTCTCTTGTTGTCAAGCATCCTGCAGCGAAAATGCATCATGGCAATAATGAGACAAATAGAGCCCATTCGAGGCCTTTCAACGCTGCAATTGTTTAAGACCCATTTGGTGCCCTCTTTCCTGGAATCATTCACTCCATTACATGTTTCTGGAACAACTTTTGTGTAGATTCGCCACATCCCTGCTAGGGTCATTGGGATAACTCTATGTCCGCAGTAGGCCTGAATTGGAATTCACTTGTCAGCACTCAAGTAGAAACACCTGTATCACCTTCTCAAAGAATACATTCTTCCAAACATAGCTTCCACGGGTCAATTCCACAGGAGATGGGTCACTTGTCTCGACTTCAACTAATAGAATTGAACAACAATTTTTTGGAGGTGGAAATAACCAAACAACCCTTTCTGTTGTTCAAAACTGAAGTGGCTGAACTTTAAATCAACAAAAATCTAACCCGATAAATAGAATCTTTGACATCACGAAACAATCGCCAGAGCTGAGTTGGCTCTTTGCCAAGGCTTTCAAACTTGGGCTTTGAGTAAGAAACAAGCTATTCAGGTTACCCATCCTCCTTTCATTATGGAGAGACCTCTCAATCTCTTTTCACCAATCTATTTATTGATGTAATTGTGCAATGGGGAAGATTCCTGGCGGAAACTGCTAAGGCTTCGAAGGCTGGCGTATGTCGACTTATCTGCGAAATAAACCTCTATGGAAGGTTCCATCTGGCCTTTACAATATCTAACCATCATTTTGGTTATAGTAAACTATTAACCACTTGAAGGAAAAACATTCACTCCTAATATAGGCTCCACACTTAACGCTAATCTCAAGTTTACTATTTCTCTTTGGCAATTTATTTACTGAACAATTCCTACTTCACTGTCATAATGCTTCAGAGAGCTCGTTGATAACAATTAGGCGTAATAATGATTTCAGGGGGACAATGCTGATGAGATCTGGAAAACTTCTGAGTCTTCGACAGATAAGTGCTCCTCAAAATCAGTTGCAGATGACATCACTTTATTCGTTCTCTACAATAATGCCAGTATTACAACATATTGGATGCGGGTAACAATTCTTTTAGAGGTTCAATTTGCCGGATCTCCATAGCAAAATCTCTCCACATATTTAGTACTTGATAAAATTTGCATATTAATCTAAATACAGGGAAACATTCCTTCAGGCATCGGAAAACCTCCTCAATCCTCCTATCTTAGCACTTATGGCAACAAATAATCTTCGCTGGCCCTATTCATCCCTGCCATGTGGCAGACTTC